TGAAGGCTGGTTAGGATTTTTCAGGTGAAAATTTGTTAATTTTCTGAAGTTGCTTTCTAGTTAATAATGTACCTGTTTTGTTGCCTTTCTGCTGTTTAATTGCAACTTTGGATAACGCACAAATCCAGTTTGTGTCTGGAAATGTTGATAGTTGTCGTTGATATTGCCATACTTTTTGTTGGCGTAACTTGTTTTGCTGCAGCTTATGAAGAGAGTTGAGAATGTTCTATAGAATTTTCGAACGTTAGCGTTTATATTGTTTGCGCTTTTTGTTTCCAGTTGAAAAAATGGAAATTCATTGTTGGATTAGTTGTTTTTTTCCTTACTTTTGTACTCTGCTCTGTAGTAGAAATTTAGTTTTGTGTTTTGTAAGAGGAGGAATTTTTTTTTTTTGTTTTTACTTTTATGTAAAGGAGTTGACAGACGACAGTGTATTACAACACAAATATATCTGGAAGAGTTTGTATTTCTAGTTAAATTACTATAAGAGAAGTTTTTTAAAATGGTCAATTAACAAAAATTTGTCATGCAGGTTTGACTTTTTAATCAGGGAACCTTGGAAATCAAGTTTGTGAAAAGTCCTGTGACAACTGTTAAAGATCATTAACCGCGTGCATTATGTAAAGCTGTTCAAAAAACAATTTGGAGTATGAGGGCTTTTCTAACTATTTGTTGTGTTGTCTCGTGATAGTTAAAAGGGGAAGTTTTTTATTAGGATTCTATTTTTACGCTAGGAATTTTACTTATCCATAGTTTTTTACATTCTTTCGTTGCGTCTATTAACCGATAATTGGGATGGTTTTTGATCAAAATTACGATGGCTTTCGGATTTTTTTGTTTGGTTTTGTGGGTACCATAGTAATCATCATGTTTTCGTTTCTTGTGACCTTCCTCTGTACAGTTCTATTTCTTATTCTTTAGGGTAGCATTAGGGTCAAGTGGGACTATTATTCTTCGGCACTGTTATTAGTTTTATTCAGTAGAAAATTAGAGGAATGGTGTTTAATTTTGCGTACTATATTGACACTCACTTTTCTCAGAATGAAGTTCGTTATGCCTGTCTGGCAAGGCATCGTTTAGGACTTTTTTATAGGTTCAGGTTGGCTCTTTTTAAAAACAGTGAATGACTTTGCTGCGCGCGATATTTTTATTCAGATGGAAAGGAGCCTTCTGTTTAAAAGCGATTCCTGGATTGACAGTACTGCTGCCTAAATTATTAATATTTTAAAAATTATAATGCTATCAGGCATGGCTTGCTACAGTCTGGTTCGTTTTGATTGCCTTTGGGAGGACTAAGGGGTTTTAAACTGTGATTTTCAGGCTTTCTATTTTCATCCTTTGTTGTGGTGCCCAAGAGGAAATTGCCTGTTTTTGGATGATAGGGACATTTTCAAGCTTATCGCTATTGAGTACGTGCAGAAAAGTTGTGCTGGAACTGGCATCACTCCTCGAATAACAAGTTTTATTGTAATAATTTATAATATGGATAAGATGGTATTCTTTTGAAAGAAGAAAAAAGAAAGTCGTTTTATTGTTTTCCTCCTAAAAAGTTCTGATAGAAAGTGTGAAGATAAGTCAGTTCTTTAAAAAAATCATTTGGGTGGTAGAGGATGGAGAAGTTTTGTGCGACGAACTGGGTCCTGAATGCAATGTGGTTTTAAGGAGCAGAATTATAGAAAAATGCCGAAGTATTACGTTTTTAGATGTTCATAAAAAGTGTTTTGAAAGGTGCTTAAGTCAGGTAAGCAAACGGATGAAAGAACTGCTTTTTATATCGAATGTTATTTTCAAGCGGGTAGATGAACAAGCTCGAATTGGGCGCAGATAGATCCACATGCTGTTGAAGTTATTTGGTGCAACTGAAGGGTTTGTACAAGCAGATGGTGACATTTTAAATAGTATATTATTCTAACGGGCGCTGTGCCACGCTACTATTTTAGTTGACTTTAATAAATATTGCTGTGGTAAATTGCTTTTTTAAAAATTTCCTCTACAGAAGTATGAATTGGCCTGAATTGTGTTTTTTTTTTCTGAAATAGCAATTTTATGAGAAGCATACCTGAAGCTTGTATGGAAAATCAATGGTGAAGTTTGGCAATGGTACCGTCATTTGGACGTAAACGTTGTTTAAGTTAAGCTTAGTCTTGTTGTTTTCAAAATCTGAGAAAGGGATTTTAAGAGTTTTTTGGACATTATTAGTGCTCAAGTTTTGAGATCCTTTTTCTTGAAGAGATTATGGTTTCATTATTCATGTTAAGCTTTTTTAAACCGTATTAGTCCTTAGGCTTACTGCACTCGAGTAGACCCCTTGTAACGGGTGAGTGATGGTAGAGTTTAGAAGATTTGGCTAGAACCGCGCACGACATTAATTTTTCTATTTTGTAATCCGCAGAGTATTTCAAAATTCTTTGATACTTCCTTAACATTTCTATTATTGTGCGTTACGTACAGCGTTTTGCATGTAATAACCCGGTAGAACCTTCGTGTATTTTTAGTGATTTCGACGAGAAACGCAGATGAAGAAAGGTTCAGCGGATGAAGTTCGTTCGGAAGAGGATTTGTTTGCAAATCCTTATGCAAGAATTGACGAAATGGTGGAGAAAAAACGCCGCAATCTTGAAAAACGGAAGGTAAAGTTTGATGGTTATTCATCTCTGCTTTTCTCAGTCTGCATTTTCTGTTGAGTTAATTGGTTGACGAGGACTAGTAGTGTTCATTTCCCTCATCATCAGAACAATATTGCTTACAGTTCTTTTCAGATTCGACTCTTGCAGTATAAAGAGGATGGAAGAAATGGTAAACAGTTAACCGATGAACAGGTCCAAGCGCTTTCGCGAATTAGCGAAGTCGAAACTCAAATTGAGTTTGTGAAAGATATTTTAAAAATCTTGACTTCCCTTCATAAAGATTTCAATCGATCTAAGAAACAGCGCGATGAGGCTTTGAGAAGAGAGGTTTATACAGTTATTTACTGCGGCAGACAGAAACTAATTAATGCAACGTCATTAATGATTATTAGGCTTTTTTTATCCTTTTTTAACTTTGCATTATTGCCATCAGTAATTTTATTGTAGCAAGCCGAACGTGACCGAAAAACATTGGCTGACTTCATTAAATATCAGAATCTCTTTAAAACCTTAGGAAATCAGCAAGTTTTGAAAGCATTTGTTGACGGTTCCAGTGGTGCAATTGTGAGCTTTTTAATTGCTGTATTACAGCGTCACAGTCGTTTAAGTTTTTCTTTAAATAATGACAAAGCGTTTTTTTTTACAGGGTTAAAAGCTACATGAAATTAATTTTTTAGAAATTAGATGAGAACGAATTCACAGTAATTGATTTCCTGAGTAGTTGTTTCAATCCGTCTATGGAAGGTTCTATGGATAGCGGAGATTGGGAGTCAAAGTGTGAGAAGAGCGCAGGTCAGGTGCATGCAATACTGTGTGGGACAAAGGAAAAAGTCTTCGAAAAAAGAACGGGTAATTCTTTACTTTTTAACTTTTCGTTGTTTTACCTAACTACTTTGTGGTAGGATAAGGTCTTAAAAGTTTTTTAAAGTGTTTTTATGAAAAGAAACGTTTATCTGATTGTGCCCTATTCAGTTTTTCTTTGCCGTTTGCTCATTCTCATTGCGACCTAAGGTGCAATTAATGTTTTTGGAGTGACTTTTTCCAGACAATTTTCTAGCATTATTAATTTACTGTTCATTTCGAGCAGACCGGTGTGAATTCGTAAATTTTACTTCACAAAATTTTTAGTATTTCAATAGAAAAATCAGTTCTCTGGAAATTTGCAGTAATTTATAAGTTTACTATGATCTGGTTGCTCCGGTTTCCTTCTGCTTTTAGGTCTTAGCATCAAAGAATTTTTGGAGAAGTTGATGAATTGTCAGTACGTCCACGACCTGGTCACAAACCAGTTTGTTACTGAAGAGGAAAGTGTTGAAGACGTTAAATCTGAAGGTAAAGAGGAAGTGGTCGTTAAAGATGATCCAAAAGTAGGTTACCTTCGAAAGTTGTTTTGAAGTAGATCTATTGTTTAGGTACGTTTCTTCCTGTCAGAAGGTTTTTTGCGTCTTACTAGTGGAAAGGTCAGAGTGCTTTTTTCCTATCAAGAAGCCATTAGAGTATTGGTTTTCAGGATAATCTCATCTTTTTATTGTTAAGTGATTGCTTTAGGTTGTGACATGTCGTTTGAAATTTTGAATTTCCAGGTACTGACTTTACTTTATGAGAGGTACCAGTCACTCTGAATGAGCATGTGTTTTAAAAGTCTAGTTATAATTTCAGTTCTTGATCTACCCTTCCAAAATAGAGCTACTATTTTTTTACTTAAAGATGCGTTAGCATATATTTCTTTGAGAAAATTAAAGTGTCACCAACGTTATCCTTTTACTAACCGCAAGTTATTTTGGGGCTTATGCCAGTAATAAATAGAGATTAGTTTTTTTAGTATTTTTTGGAAGAAGCTTTTAGGTTTCAAGGATATTCTGGCTTTTGTTAAGGTCCTTTCTTCTTCATTAGGTCTGGAGAACTGGTTGCTTTTACTTGACTGCTTTAATAATATTATTGTACTATCGTGGGATAGAACCAGGTTTACGAATTGAAGGCTCTAAAGAGTAATTCACCGCCTCTCATTCTTGTTTCTACTTCATTCCCCGATGGTATTTGGTGTCGCTGTAATGACAGTTAAATCAGAAACTTAATTCCGATTTCCCCGCTATTATAGGAAAATTAGTTGAA